AGGGTGACAATATACAGCCTTGACGTACTCCTTTCTCGGTTTGGAACCAGCCTGTTCTGGTTCCAGTCAGACTCCTTTGTTAGTCAGACTCCTTTGTTGTTCCATGTCCAGTTCTAACTGTTGCTTCCTGACCTGCACACCGATTTCTCAAGAGGCAGGTCAGGTGGTCTGGTATTCCCATCTCTTGATGAATTTTCCACAGTTTGTTGTGATCCACACAGTCAAAGACTTTGGCATAGTCAATAAAGCAGAAGTAGATGTTTTTCTGGAACTCTCTTGCTTTTTCGATGATTCAGTGGATGTTGACAATTTGATATTCTAAATCCAGCTTGAACATCTGGAAGTTCACAGTTCATGTACTATTGAAGCCTGGCTTGGAGAATTTTGAGCATTACTTTGCTAGCATGTGAAATGAGTGCAATTGTGCAGTAGTTGGATCATTCTTTGGCTAGATTTTAGGCAATGAATTACCTCTCAGATCCTGTTTGCTCTGCTGTGTAATGGTGATAAGAATGCTTGCAGGACATTGGCACAGGGCTGTTCTGAGGCAATGAGACGATATATACACTTATATATATGTATATTTTGGACAGTATGAATTGTTGCACTGTTGGTCCGTGTTTCAAGAATTTTAGTAATGAAAGAATCTTAATTCTGAAAAAAAAATAAATCCTTTTCAATTACTGGAAAGTAGATCTAAATTAGAACCAGCAAAGCTCTTAATAATGAGATTATAAGTGGTTTTCATTTTCATATTTCATACTTTTTAACTTTTTCCTAAATTTCCTCCAAGGGAAATGTAATATTTTAATCAGGGGAGAGAGGTTTTTCAAAGGTAGTGGGGAACATTTCTTCATTGTTGTAGAAGGTCATTTTGATACTAAATTCAGAGGAGTTGGGCTGTAATCTTTAATATAAGGATAATCCCAATGCTATATAAAAGCCAAATTTCCATTCCATTCCTTATGAGTGTTTGGCTGTGTCTGTCTTTTCCAGCATTCCAGGTCAGGGTTCTACAGTTGGAAATAGCTGTTAATGTAATCCTTCTGGCCTTTTTCAAAGATTTGCCTCAATTGTAAAGGCCCCCTACTTATAGCTTTTTCATATAGCCTGAACCTTACACTCCTAAAAGGCGTATACTCCTTGAGGTGACATTCTGTACATATTCTAAGACATTTGGGAGACAACCTAGGGAACTTCAACTTTGATACTCTTGCCTATAAGGTAACATTTTTGCCTATGATTTTGCTACCCCCATATTCCCCTTCTGCCACTGTTTTGCTTAAATATCCCCTCATCACTCTCCCCTGTTTAATATGGCAAATACTTGGGTACTCAAGCTCTTTTTTGGCACTTGAATTTTAGGATCTCTGCAGTCCAGGCAGATTCATTTGAGGCTGTGATCAAAGATTCTGAATTGAAAAAACCAGAACTTAGGAAGCACAGCCATGCCTTTAAATGAAGGGTAGAAAATAAGCTAACCCATTTCCTTATAGAATTGGAAAAATTTGATTAAAAACTAATTTGAAGTTTTAGAGGCCAACCTTAAAGCAATGTCTGACTACATGGATTCTGATTCTCTGGTCTCATATCACTGCTTGCTGAGAGGGCTCAACATTTTTCTTAGAAGTTGCTGACTCCTTTAGTCAGACTCCTTTGTTAGGTAACCTGTCACAGAGTCTTGGAGAAGTGAAGGACTTTTCTGATTAGCTTTGATTTAATAATAATAAGATTAAACTCCTACTACAAGAAAACAAGCTCTCTGCCATTCTTCAGATTGTCCTTAAAGCCAAGTCATCTAAACCAAAATATCACAAGTTCTTCCTAAACGTTTCATTGTGTTTTTCCACCCCCCACAGGTTTTTATATATCAAATAAGGGGGACCTACTGTAGTTTTCTAAACAGTGTCTTTGTACTTATTTACATACTGACTTGTTTCCTTTATACTGGCCACAAATCTAATTTGAACATTGTATCTTTAAAAAGGTTCAATATCTTGGGGGCCCATGTATGAGAGACTGGTTAAAAAAAAGTCTGTTTCAGACTGCTGGGGCATAGCTGTGCCATGGGGAATAAGTCCAGTTCAGTCTGCTCGTTGCATCAGGTGGCCAAACGATGCTTCAGCTTTAGCATCAGTCCTTCCAATGAATAGTCAGGATTGATTTTCTTTGGGGTTGACTGGTTTGATGTCCTTGCCGTCCAAGGGATTCTCAAGAGTCTTTTCCAGCACGATTTGAAAGCATCAGTTCTTTGGCACTTAGCTTTCTTTATGGTCCAACTCTTACATCTGTACAGGACTACTGGAAAAAACCATAGATTGACTATACAGATCTTTGTTGGCAAAGTGATGTCTCTGCTTTTTAATGTGCTATCTAGGTTTGTCATAGTTTCCTTCCTCAGTCATGTCCAACTCTTTGAGACCTCATGGACTGTAACCTGCCAGGCTCCTCTTTCTTTGGAATTTTCCTGGCAAGAGTACTGGAGTGGGTTGGGTATCTTCCCAACCCAGGGATCAAACCCAAGTCCTGCATTGCAGGCAAATCTTTTATTGCTGAGCCACAGGGGAAGCTCTACTTGAGACCTTATACTTGACATAAAGTAGCCTGCAGAATGTCTGCAGCTGTTAAACACATTTCTGTATTCTAAATCTTTTTTCCACTCCAGTGTGCTGAAGAGATTGAACACATTCCCATCAGTGACAGGAACCCACCAGGACATTGCCAGCCAGAGGGAAGGATTAAGGGCACACCTCTAGGAGACGGGATTGAGAGAGTGAAGTTAACAGGCTTTCACAGGGTCTATGCCTTGTGCTCATTCCCTCTCATTTAATACTTTCAGTCCTACAAAGTGAAAGTCCCTCAGCTGTGTCCGATTCTTTGAGACTCCATGGACTATACAGTCCATGGAATTCTGTAGGCCAGAATACTGGAGTGGGTAGCTTTTCCTTTCTCCACGGGATCTTCCCAACCCAAGGATCAAACCCAGGTCTCCCACATTGTAAGTGGATTCTTTACCAGCTAAGCCACAAGGGAACTCCAAGACTGGAATTGGGTAGCCTATCCCTTCTCCAGGGGATCTTCCCGATCCAGGAGTCAACCGGGGTCTCCTGCATTGCAGGCAGATTCTTTACCAACTGAGCTATGAGGGAAGCCCCTTCAGTCCTACAAGGCAGGTACTAACTGATCCACAATTCATTTTTAATTCTGAACCCAAAAAGCTCTATAAAAAAACAAGATTTTTTTTTCAAGTGCAGCAAATTCATTTGACAGCAAACCTTCACCTGAACTCGTATGGGGCTTTCTGTAATCTTTACTCATACTATTTGATGAGACTATTAAATCTTGATTACAAGGGTGTTGCCCAGCCCTCACCGAGGATGGTATAAAGTATGTGTGGTCTTCCTAAAATTCAAAGAATTTTCCAAAGCATTCTCAGCCAAGAGTTTCAGGGGTATGAAAAGGTATGAGAATGAAGTATTTTCTCAACACATTGCTACTGAACTGTGTAACTAGATTTGAAAAAGACCTCATACACTTTTTTCAACTCTGCCGCACTGCCATTTAAAGAGCCTGTTGAAAGTCATGTAGCCTGTTCTTTGGAAGAAGTCAGTTAGCTTTGCAGATACTTAACAGATGTGTCTGAGGATCCTCCAGAAAGTATTTGTAAAGTTATGTCTTTGGTCTGTTACCATTTGGTCATTGGTAATGCTTCAGACTTACCTTTTTCTCTTTCTGGTTGTGCCCCCGAGAAATATTAAGACTGTTTCATTTGGAATATATACAGTGTTTCATAGTCTTCAAGTGGACTCCAGTGGCAGCGGGGTTGGGGGAGATGCCGGGGGGTAGGGAATCAAGGTAACGTGACAGTGAGGCATTAAAATTGTGATTATTCCCCTTTATCCTAGGCCAGTTGGAAAGCACCCTTAGCAAAATAAATAATCTGGCAGATTTCTCACAAACAAGGAGGATTATGGTGACAACATTCTCACAGAATTAAAAATATCTTTGAATAATATTAAGTTTTAAAGTATCTTTTTCTGGTTAAATCAATATTTTTTCCCCTATTCTTTGTCCAGAATATCTCACCTAGAAGAAAGAAATCAAATATCTTTAAAGCAAAAATCATCTAGAATCCTCCCTTTTAGGCTTTCCTTATTTCTGTAGAAGATATTTTTGCTTAAACTTGGATCATGTGTTCCAAGCTTTTTCTCTTGGGGGATTATCATGTCTCGCTTAGATTTTCTGTCAGATATTAATTTCATGCGTGTCTTGTGCTTTGTAAGAGTAGACCAGCCTAAAATGTATTGGTGAGCTTTAGGGGAACTAAACATATGAAGGATGGCCTGTACTCATTTCCTTTTAAGAAAAGTAGTTTAATTGAGATTTGAAGTTCTTCATTTCGTAAAATGAACTTGTGGTATTGTGGTAGAATGAAAAATATATATTACCTTTGTCGCCAAGTCCTAAATCCCTTGGAATTTCCTGAATGATAGAATGAGACTGGTCGCCAGAGGAGCCGACACATGATTAGAGGGTTAGGACTTTCAGCCCAGTCCCCAGCCTCGGCAGAGGGGACAGGGGCTGGAATCAAGTTCGTTCACCAGTGGCCCATGATTTAATTAATCATGCCTGTGCCATGAAGCTTCAGTAAAACTCCGAAAGGAGACTAAGGGGTTTCCAGGGAGGGTGGTGCATCTGAGAAGAATAAAGCTGTAAGTGTAAGTAAGTCCCTTTCCAAAGCTCTGTTTTAGCAGATTATTGAACCTGAGGGGAGGTCATGGGAATTCCCAAATTTATAGCTCTTTGGTCGAAAGGACAGGTAGTCCCTAGGACTTACCTCTGGTATCTGAATGGGGGGCAGTTTTGTGGAACTGAGCCCTTATCACTCCAGGTAGTGTCAGAATTGAAGTGAATTGCAGGATACATTCTATACTATGCCTGGAATACTGCAGGTATCTTATGTGTTTAATGTGTGACCTGGTCACAATTATCTCTTCCAGTATCTGACCAAGCAGGTGGAGCTTCTGCGGCAGATGAATGAACAGCATGCAAAGGTTTATGAGCAGTTAGATGTCACAGCGAGGGAACTGGAAGAAACAAATCAAAAGCTGGTTGCTGACAGCAAGGCCTCACAGCAAAAGATTCTGAGGTAACTTTTTTAGAATCCATTGAAGAAGCCCTAGGGGAAGTTATTTAGTATAAACTAGAATAGAACATGGCTGTAGCAGGTTCAGGTCAGTATGGGGTAAGCTTTAATTTAATTCTCTATGGAGAATAGAGATTAAATAGAAGTCTTTTCCAATTACAAAAGCCCAGTTTGAGTGGTTGGCAACTAAGCTCTCCTCACCGCGTATGCCTTTAATTTAATATGACAAGCTGCAATTGGCTTCTGTCTGTTCCTCACAGTCTGACTGAAACAATTGAATGCCTGCAAATGAACATTGATCACCTCCAGGGCCAAGTGGAGGAGCTGAAATCATCTAGCCAAAGGAGAAGGAGCCAGGGGAGGCATGACCAGGAGAAATCAGCCCCCAGCTTCTCGTCTTTGAAAGAGCTGTATGACCTCCGCCAGTAAGAGCCACCTTCCATTTGCAAGCAGGAGAACATCTCGTGTCACTGGCACTTTCTGGATCCCAGTAGATTAAACGTACCCTTTGAGGAAATGCCACTTGGCTATTAGACCACCAGTGGTTTGAACAAACCACTTAAACATACAAGTGATAGTTTTTGTTGTTGTTGTTGTTTAGTCCAATTGAAATTTCAGTAAAACAAAATCCAGGCAAACAGAAGGGTTTTGTTTTTTTTTGCCTGCAGGAAAGCCTTTTACAATTTAGACTTTGGAGATTGAATCTTCATTTAAGAACCATTTCTTGAACACCTGTGGTAAGGCAGATGCTATGCTAGATGTAAGGAGTGGTAAGCAAAACAGACACAGTTCCTGCCCTCATGGAGCTTTCAGTCTCAGGAAGAGGCAGGTAGCAAATAAGTACAGTTACAAGTTGCCCAGGACTCTGACTAGGAGACAGACCAGCTCATGCATTTGGTGGGCCTCAACTTGACTGTTCACCAGATAGCGGTCAGGCCTAATCAGAATCTCTAGGTGTGAGTAAAAGGCTGTGAAGGTGATTCTGATATATGTTCTTGGTTTAAAATCACTGCAGCAATGGTTCTCAATCTTAGCTGCATATTATGAATCATAGGAAGAGCTTTAAACAAAATAAACCCTGTAGTCCAGGTGGCAGACCAGTTAGGTCAGAATCTATGGGTGTGGGACCCAGGCATCAGTATGTTTTAGGGCTGCCCAGGTGATTCTAATCTGCCGCCAAGACTGAGCACCGCTGACTGTTCTGATCTCCTTGAACAGTCCCAGTCATACCACTGGTCTTTGGGAATGGATGTTCTGTAGCATTTTTAATATTTTAAAAAAAATTAATTACAAAAGTTGTGTTTTCTTCCATGTGCTAATTTGTCAGCCTCACACATTCATTTCAGCCACTGCTCTGGGGTGGAATAGGCAAAAATCAGTCATATCACAGCTCCTCAAAAATAGGGAGCTGGAAAAAAATCATCAGCCTCCCTCTTTGCGTTCTGAGTCGATCTGTGTAAGTCTTTCAATATTTCCCCCAGGCACTTCGTGTACGATCATGTGTTTGCTGAGAAGATCACTTCCTTACCGAGTCAGCAAAGCCCCGATGAGGAAGAAAATGAGCATTTGAAGAAAACAGTGACAATGCTGCAGGCCCAGCTGAGCCTAGAGCGGCAGAAGCGGGTGACCATGGAGCAGGAGTACGGGCTGGTGCTGAAGGAGAACAGCGAGCTGGAGCAGCAGCTGGGGGCCACGGACGCCTACCGGGCCCGCGCGCTGGAGCTGGAGGCGGAGGTGGCCGAGATGCGGCAGATGTTGCAGGCGGAGCATCCCTTTGTGAACGGGGTGGAGAAGCTGGTGCCCGACTCTCTGTTCATCCCTTTCAAAGAGCCCGGCCAGAGCCTGCTGGACGAGATGCTCCTGACCGTGCCCGAAGCGCTCAGGAAGCCCCTCAAGCGCAGCAGCAGCGAGACGGTGCTGAGCAGCCTGGCGGGCAGCGACCTGGTGAGGGGCCACGAGGAGACCTGCATCCGCAGGGCGCAGGCGGTGAAGCAGAGGGGCATCTCCCTGCTGCACGAGGTGGACACTCAGTGCAGCACCCTGAAGGCCAAGTACGAGGAGCTGCTGAAGAAGCGCCAGCAGGAGGAGGACGGCCTGTCCCACAAGGCTGTGCAGACCTCCCGGGCTCCGGCCAAGGACCTGGGTGCCCTGCACGCCCAGCCCAAGCCCGGCACCCTCAGCTGGGGCCCGGCCTCTGTCACCCCGGAGCCCGTCAGCTCCCCCACCACCTCGACGCCGCCAGAATACAAAGCGCTTTTTAAGGAGATCTTTAGTTGCATCAAGAAAACTAAACAGGAAATAGATGAACAGAGAACCAAATACCGATCCCTCTCCTCTCATTCCTAAGTGAAGCGCCAGCTCCACGACTCGCTGGCCTGCTTCCTGTTACCTCTCTCTCCCACTCACACAAGTGTGTGTCGACCCCAAAGCCTGATGTTGCTCCTGACGCTGGCCTCGTTGCTTTGCTTATTTATTAGCAAATGCATAGAGTGAGGAAGGAAGGTGGCTCCTGGTGGCAGTTGTATAATCCAGTTCGTTTAAGCACCTCAGGAAATCCCATGACGGACTGGCCTCTGGCTAGCGTGATGATTAGGTTGCAGTTCCTTGAAAAGCCCCAGAACCAGTGGAGGGAGGATCTGTGCCCCTGGAGAAGTAGGCCTGGAGTAACTGTAGTGTGTAGTATATATAATATAGTGTATATTATATGGGGAAATGGCAGAGTTGAAACAAAGCTAATGCAGCTCCTGCTGCCTTCTTGCCTAACTTCTCAAAACTATGTAGAAGTGAGACGGCTGCCACGTGAAAGGGTCTTTCACAAACACTGTTGGATACCGTAAATTCGTGAAGAATGTTCGGGAGAAAGCAGGGGTCTCATCCAAAGCAAATGGCATTAACAAATACTCCAGGCCTTTGAGTTCGTTACATCTGCTGCCAGTGGAACTGTGACTGACAGGTAATCCTAATACATCCAGTCCAGCTGAATACCACATTGAAATGGCAGTCTCTGGTTAGCCCAGTTAGCTTGTTAGCAGAGCCCTGGAGGGCCTTCTCCCCACATTCAAATGTTTGTACTCAAAAGCTGTAGTGGCTAGGATAGGCAAATCATTCTTTTCTTAAATTCACACTAGAGGGGCAAGATGAAACCCGCACCCCCACTGTGTTGTCTGAGCTGGCTAGCCCACTGGTCTCAAGCTGCTGCTCACTTCCTACCATTCCTATACATGTTTGTGACTTGCTGCAGAAATTCCTATCTGCCGCTTTATTAAACAGTGTTGATGTCTTGACTGTGGAAATACACTTGTCCTCTCACTTGCATACTTTTAATTTAAAACTATTTAAGAAAACTGAGGTTCCATTTATTGTATATATTTTTCTAAAAACCAAATAAAATTACCTATGAAAATGAACAAATGGATCAATTGCTTGTTATTTCAATCTTAAGCCATTTCACTGTTATTACCAACTGTTTACTTTTCTTCTTTCAACAGAATCTCTCTGGGAAGAATTGATAGTGATTTTTTTTTCCATTTCCATTTTTCCTAATCTTTGGGATTGTATAATAGCACAAATTCTGCTCATATTGATGTTCATTAAAGTTACTATATGATTTAAAAGTTTTATATGCTCTATATAATTTTCACTGTTTTAGGACTCGGTTCTAAATGAATAGCACTTGGCTAGTTGAGTCTTAAAACATTTGATAATTCAGTTATAGGAAAGACACTTTAGAGTGTTCAAATGTTTTTTTTTTTTTAGAGTGTTCAAATGTTAAAATGAGCCTTGAATCTAATTTTGCACAATGGCAAAGCTGGATTAATGGGTAAAACATTATTTCTTCAAACAGCATGAAGAGTTTATAAAGTGAGCTGTCTCATCTTCCCTGGCCCTCTGACCTCCCAACCCTTGTCCTGTCCAGTTACCAGTTTATTGGTGTATCATTCCAAACTATTCTGTGCTTAGATTAGTACATGAGTGTGCTTATATCACCCCATATTTTAAAATGAGCGTCTCTTGCATTTTACTGAACTGTTCATCTTTAAACTGTGTATTTTTTTATTTATTGAAGTGTCGTTGATTTACAGTTTTGTGCTAGCTTCTGGTGTACAGCAAAGTGATTCAGTTACACACGTACGTATTTTTATATTCTTTTCCATTATGGTTTATTACAGGACATTAATGTGCTATACAGTAGGACCTTGCTGTTTATGCATTCTGTATATAATAGTTTGCATCTGCTACCCACACTCCTAATTAATCCATCCCTCCATCCCCCACCTCCTTGGCAACCACAAAGTCTGGTCTGTGTCTGTGAATGTGTTTCATAGATAAGTTCATTTGTGTCATATTTTAGATTTCACATGTAAGTGGTATTACGTCTTTTTCTTTGTGACTTAGTTCATTTAGTATGATAATCTAGGTTCATCCAGGTTGCTGCAAATAGCATTATTTCATTCATTTTATGGCTGACTAGTGTTGTTTACATATATACACCCCATCTTTATCCATTCATCTGTTGATAGACATTTATGTCTTGGCTATGTCTTGGCTAGTGCTGCTGTGAACATAGGGGTACATGTATCTTTGCAAATTAAGAGGTTTCTCCAGATACATGCCCAGGAGTGGGATTGCTGGATCATATGGCAACTCTATTTTTAGTTTTTTGTGGAACCTCCATAGTGACCGCACCAATTTACATTCCCATCAACAATATAGGAAGTTTCCCTTTTCTCCACACCCTCTCCAGCGTTTATTTGTAGGCTCTTGAATGATGGCCATTCTGACCAGTGTGAAGGTGGTAGCTTATTGTAGTTCTGATTTGCATTTCTCTAATAATTACCAGTGTTGAGCCTCTTTTCATGTGCCTGTTGCCATACCAATAAACTTTATGACCCTTGCCAAACTAATAGAGGAAAAATGGTGTTTTCCTTATTGTTTAGTGTTGCATTTATTAAGGTTGAATAGCTTTTAATCTGTTCAAAGCCATTTTTGCATTGCCCTTTGCCTATTAAAAGAGCTCTAGTATTTAGGAAATTCACTTTTGCAATTAGATATTACATGCTATTTATCTTTTTACCTTGTTACTGGAATTTTGCGAAATAAGATTTTCATGTGGTTATATTAATCTTTAAACACTTTATTTCTTTTTGTGCTTGACAGTTGTTTGAACCGTCTGAACTTCAAGTTTTCTGCGCTTTTTATTGTGGTAAAAATACACATAATTAATATCTGAACCACTTTAAGTGTACAGTTCAAACATGTTAAATATATTCACATTGTTATGCAACCATCAAGCACCATCCATCCCCATAATTTTTACTCTTTAAAACTGAAACTCAGACTTCCCTGGTGGTCTGGTGGTTAAGAATCTGCCTGCCACTCCAGGTGACATGGGTTCAATCCCTGGTCCAGGAAGATTCCACATGCCTCGGGCAGCTGAGCCAGGGTGCCGCAGCTACTGAGCCCTGTGCCTAGAGCCCGTGTTCCACAACAGGAGAAGCCACCACAAGGAGCCCCCGCACCACAACCAGAGTACCCCTGCTTGGTAACTAAAGAAAGTCCATGTGCAGCAACAAAGACCCAGCACAGCCATTGTAAAACCAAAAAACTGAAACTCTACCCATTATACAATAACTGGGAGGCAGGATCAAAATGGTGGTGTAGGACCCTGGGCTCACCTCGCCCAACAAACTCATCAAAACTACAACTACATGGGCTTTCCTGGTGACTCAGTGGTAAAGAGTCAGCTTACCAGTGCAGGAGACACAGGTTCAATCCCTGATCCAGGAAGATCCCACATGCCAAGGAGCAACTAAGCCCATGTGCCAACCACTGAGCCCAAGTGCCGTCATTACTGAAGCCCACGCACCCTAGAGCCTGTACTCACAAGAGAAGCCTGTGTACCGCAACTAGAGAAAAGCCCACGCAACAACAAAGACCCAGCAGAGCCATAAATAAATATAAATCTATTCGAAACACCAAACCTACAACTACATATAGTTCTGAGAATAACCAGAAGACTAGCAGTGTGGCTTTCCCAGAACCAGGCTGTAAAAAAAAGAGAAAATACATAGTCTTGTAAGAAGGGAAAAGTGATATGGTCTGAATCTGCAACCCCAGAGGGTGACCCAGAAGAGGGGATGTCACAGGGCAAGCCAGGGGTCCACCCTGGGCAGCAAAGGGTTGAAGCCACATATTAGACACCCCAGCCCTGGGGCCCAACACCAAGAAGATGAGCCTCATTAGGGGACTTGAAAATGGTTTGGCCTTCCTAGAGGGCTGTGAGTAACCCGTGCTCTGCTCCTGAACAACACACAGATTTGCTTGCTCCCAGTCCACTGCAGAGGCTGCAGACTGAAGATCACCGGGGGCTCTGGCCTGCCTGCTGGGACCACCTAAGAGACCCCTGTCCCGCACCACTCACGCACTGATGCTTTGAATAAATGTCTGTTCCAGTTCCTTGCCCATTTTTTTTTTTACCTTGCCCATTTTTGAACTGGGTTATTTTGAGTTTCAGTTCTCTATACAATCTGGATATTAATCCCACATTAGATGATACAATTCACAAGTATTTTCTCCTGTGGGCTGCCTTTTTATTCTGTTGAGTGTCTTATGATGCATAAAATTTTTAAATTTTCACCAAGTCCAATTTGTCTATTTCCTCTTGTTACCTGTGCCTTCCCTGACGTACCAAGAAATGATTGCCAAGTCCAATGTAGTAACGCCATATGCAGAGACAGTTGTGTCCAACTCTTTGTGCCCCTTTGGACTATAAGCTGCCAGGCTCCTCTGTCCATGGGATTTTTCAGGCAAGAATACTGGGATGGGCTGCCATTTCCTTCTCTGAGTAACACTGTAGTTCTAAAAGGTGTTTTTTGGTTTTTTTTAGGTCTTGCTCCATTTTTTCTGTGATGTTACTTTAGGGTCCAAATTTGTTGTTTAGTATAAGACTATCTTGTTTTCCCAGCTCCATTTATCGAAGTCTGTCCTTCTCTATTTGACAATATATGAGTGTTTCTTTCAGGGCTCTGTTCCAGTGGTCTATTTGTCTTTATAATCACTGTCTTTGGTAGTTAAGTTTTGAAATCAATTTTGAGTCCTCCAGTGTTTTGTTCTTTTTCAGGATTGTTTTGAGTATTTGGTTGGTGTCCTTTGAGATTCCTTATTAATTTTAGGATGGGTTTTTCTATCTCTGCAAAAAACATCATTGCGATTTTGATAGTAATTGCACTGAATCTGTAGGTCACTTTGGGTAATATTGACTCTTCCAATCCCTGAACAAAAGATGTGTTTCCATTTGTCTTAATTTCTTCTGGCAGTGTTTTATGGTTTTCATTATACAAACCTTCCACTTGGTCAATCACTAAGTTTTTTGTTTTTTTTTTTTGATGCCTTGGTAAATGGAATTGTTATTTCCTTTTTATTGTATGTAGAAATGCAACTGATTTTTGTGTTGACCCTGTATTCTGCTACTTTGCTTGACTCATCCAAACGTTTTTTGTGAAATATTTAGTTTTCTACATATAAGATCATATCATCTGCAAATATATTACTTCCTTTCCATTTTTTTTCTTGCCTCATTGCTCTAGCTAGTACTTCCAATACTATGTTAAACAGAATTATGGTAGGCATCCTTACCTTGTTCCTATCTCAGAGGAAATGCCCTGATATCACCCTTGCAAAGACATGAAGCTAAAAGTCGCTGTCGTGCCCAACTCTTTGGGATATAGTCCATGGAATTTTCCAGGCCAGAATACTGGAGTAGGTAGCCTTTCCCTTCTCCAGGTGATCTTCCCAACCCAGGGATCAAACCCAGGTCTCCTGCATTGTGGGCAAATTCTTTACCAGCTGAGCCACAAGGAAAGCCCAAGAATACTGGAGTGAGTAGCCTCTCTTCTCCAAGGGATCTTCCTGACTCAGGAATCAAACCAGAGTCTCCTGCATTGCAGTCAGATCCTTTACCAACTGAGCCAGTAAGGAAGCCCTTGCATAGGCATGGTTGACTTAATTCTTTACATGTTACTGGAATCCACTACTTATCCTTTTTATTTATATGCTATCTCTGTCAAGACTTTAAAGTCAATGTTTTGATAATCTGGGGGACCATCACATGCTGTTACATCATAAAGATTTTATATAATTCAACTGTGATAATCCCTGGCCCTTTTCTTCTCTAGTAATTGCTCTGTTGCAATTTCTTTCCAACCACTTTTAGGAATTTATGCTTTAGTTATAAATCATCTAATTCCCCTAAACTTCCCCCATCTCATTGTCTATACAGCTTGTGTCATTTTCCTTCATTGATAGCTATTGGTATATCTTAATTTACATTTTTACCTCATTAATTTGCTCTTAAATATTTCCTTCTCTGTTGTTACTTTCCTAGCTATCTGAATTCAGTGTTTAACTCATTTCTCTTTATTGGCGTTTCCGGCTTTGACTCCTCCAAGCCCCGCCAGGTCATGTCTGCTCAGTCTCTGCTGCAGCACGAGGGGCCTCCCCTTGAGCAGGGCTGGCTGCATGATCGCTGGACACACTCCAGGAAAATTTTAGGCGGCTTTTACTCTTTCCAGACTCATGTATGTTAACAATTAGAACCAAGAACTTAATATACAATCAGCCTGTTAAACCTTCATTACCAAATATTGTATCTCTTTTTTGGGGGGTGGGGGGGAGTACATACACATACACCATCACCTAAATCTTCAGAGAGTAGTGACTCTACTGCCCAATAGACCACAGCGAAAGTCTTATTTTAGCAAAATTTCCTGTCTTGCCCAATCCTGCATAACTCTTAATTTTCCACAATCCTCCAAGGGCTGACTATCCACTGGTCATTATGGGCTAGCCCATAATGTGGCAACTGAGCACTAAAATTGTAGCTATTCCAAACTGCGAGTGTGATAAGTATAAGATGAAAAGTGAAAGTGAAAGTCGCTCAGTCGTGTCTCTTTGCGACCCCATGGACTACACAGTGTATAAGATACCAGATAGTGAAAACTTGGTACCAAAAAAATTTTAATATTTTTATTACATGTTGATATTTTAGCTATATTAGGCTAAGTAAAATACATAAAAATTTAACAAGTTTCTTTGTACTATCTTTAGTATGTGTACTAGAAAATTTTACAATTACATATGTGACTGTACAGTTCCACCGGGCAGTGCTGCTGGCTGCCATCCCCCTGATGTACATACAAGACTCTGAGAGCAGACAGCACTGCCTTCTTGCAACCATTTGAAGACAGCAGCACCATGATGCCAGGTTAGTGTTAGCATTTATTTTAAAAATACACAAAATAGAAATTTTCTACATCAAAGTGTGATGACCTCACTTATACATTGTTCCATACTTACCTCGTTTTATTTGCATCCATATGCAAACATTGAGAATAAATTGTATTTGATTCTGATTTTTCGCTATGGTTCATGTAAACAGTTGAGACTGCGACTTAAAGTAGGTTATTTTAAAAGGTAAAATGGCCACAGGAAACCAACAGTGAAACAATTTGGTTTGGTTTGTTTAATGAAGTTGGCAGAAGTCTTAGCAGATAGATAACTGAAGACTTAATATTGGCTTCCAGGCATTTTAAATATTAAAAACCTCGAGGTTTTCTTCATCTTGTAAACATAACTCAGATCTTGTTGGCATTAAGTTTGAAAGTAAAATATTAAACCATGATTTTCACCATCCTGCCGGTGACAGTGTACACTCTCTTTATTATGAGAATGAAACCAAATAATAAGCAAAATACATCACGAATTTCAAACTGTACTGCAAAGGAGGTCCCAGCTGGTCTCTTCTGGGAGCCATCTACCTCAAGGTGACCCTGCCACTGGCTGGGTATGATCCCCTCTGTCCACTGGACAGCGTGAGGCCCCCGGCCGAGAGGTGGTCAGTTCCTCTTGCTCCGAGTCTTCTGAAGCAACCGAAACTCTACTTCCACCTCTGCTGGCTCTGCCGTCCGTCCTTGGGCTTGGATTCACTGGGTTAGTGATTTGCAACTGTTGTCAAGACTGTACTGTCCCTTTAAGGTACCACATGCCACCGTAGCTTACACAGCAGTCCTATGAATAAAGAAACATGTTGAGAGCAGACATTAGCAGGAAAAGGAACACATTCTGTGCAGAATATCAAAACCTGATTTATGATTCATGGAGAGAACACAAACAGGAGATCAAGACCTGCCTGACGCTGTGGTCATCACTGCCCAGCTTCCTCCATGCGTGGGTCTCGACCCCTTCTTTCCCCAGGGGTGTCTTAAGAGTGAGGGACTATAAACGAATGTGCTTTATAAACACAAGATACAAAAGATATATGAATAAGCTAACTAGAAAAAAGGTGCTTCACAAATTGCATCAGCATTTATGGACCTGGAATATAAGAATACTAGAATATAGGGAATCTGTCATTTTTCAGTAAAACTGAATGCTAAATATCTGCTAAAACTAAATGCTTCTGCGAGTATGGTATTTGTGCCACACAGTCAACTCATAAAGACATTATGAAAAAAAGTGTTAAGTCACTCAGTTGTGTCTGACTCTTTGTAACCCCAAGGACTATAGCCCACCAGGCTCCTCTGTCCATGGAATTCTCCAGGCAGGAGTACTGGAGTGGGTAGCCATTCCCTACTCCAGGGGATCTTCCTGACACAGGGATCAAACCCAGGTCTCCTGCACTGCATGCACATTCTTTACCATCTGAGCCACAGGGAAGCCAATGCCTAATAGGAATTAAATATTTTTTATTTCTTTTTAAATTTGATTTAAAAATTGTTCTACTAAAAGCAAGGAGCACAAGAGTTAGTATGAGGTTACGAGGGAAAAAAAAAGTGGTACACAATTCAGAGGAGGAGTGGGGTAAGGATTCTAATCTAGGCCCTGTCACTGTAAAGGATGATGACCCGCTAGACTACTAATGGAGTTTACATCTTATTCAATTTAGTCCTTTTGCATAAACCCACCAGACCAATGCCAATTATCTGTTGCTGAAGACCCAGCAGGGCTGGGGAGGGGTGCAGAGGAAGCCTGATTATAACCACAGCCACAGGAAGGGTACCAGACGAAATCCCTTTCCACAGTCAGTCTCCACCTAAGACAGGGAGGAGCCAGCTGTGGGCATCGTGGTTCTTAGGCTCACGGTCGGGACAGAAGCTCAGAGCCTCTGCATATTAATATACCAAAAATGGATGTACCTTTAGCACTTTATCCACCTCCTGTTTACTCAGATCTTCTCCACACTCTTGAGTCAGCCGAGCCTGGATCATGTTCCGGCGCACCCGGTAATTTTTGGAAAAAATTTCAAGCAAAACCTGTCGATGCTTTAGTAGCAAAAACATGTTATTACGGGAAGTAATCATCTAAAACAGAAACATCAATAAATAAGAAATCTGAAGCAAAGGACCCAACTCCATACTGTAGCCTGTGATCAAAGTCCTTGCTTAGGACTTCTGTTAAAGACAAACACGTATGGCCAGTTTGTCATCTCCTGAGAGAGACCCCAATACAATGAAGAAATAAGGATATATGCACACAAGAACAAAAATGCCAGTGAAGCCATCAGCAGAGAAGCAGTTTTTAGACATACTTCTGTGTGATAGAAAAACAAGAGGACAACTGACTGAGCAGACGGGGGGGGGCCACAACCTTAACTGCATGAAGACAGGACAGGATGAGGAGCGAGTGGCTTAAAGTCCTGACACATAAATAAGACAGGATGCCATGAAGAGCAATATGTCCCACAGAAAAATAGGAGACTGTCAAAATCCCTCCAAAAGAACAAAAGGTGTTAAATCAGAGAGAGAAGATTTGATCCACTATGTCTAACAGGTGACCTAAGAATTCCAAAAGAATAGAGAAAAAACAGGTAAAGAAATTTCAGTACTTCGTGAGGATGACTCAACCATCCCGCACAGTAATAACCCGCACAAGGGCACATCTGGAGATGCACTGATGTGCTATATGCAAAGAATAAAACCTTAAGTCTGGTTTAAGGGAAGGATGTGGATCAAACTGGAAAGACCGAGAAAAAGAGAGCCAAGGAACTGGACAACAACTCTGAAAGCTTGAATACAATCGAACAGTATGTTAAATTCAGAGGAAAATGCTTGGCCCTCCAAAACCCCAGTCCCAGATAAATAATACTTGAGGACAAAAGAAAGCTATTTTAAGACATGGAAGAATGCAGCAACCCCTCTGGTCCCCTTAGAAGCTAAGATTGAGCAACAAGGAAGACACAAGATTGCAAGCCAGCAAAAGACATGGAGCTGGTCCCACTGGAGACGTGTCTGGGACTCAAGAACAGTACTCTTGATGATATCTACATGTTCAGAAAACCATGCAAGTGAAAACAAGAAAACAAGAAAAGCAGTAATAAAAAAGAAATTAACATGGTAAACTACTGATATTTGTCTCCACAATGAACACATTTCTAGTCTAGCAGATATGTGATGTAACTAAAAAAATACATCCCACACCTGTCTACATTCTCCCAACATAGCTGAAAACTAAATCCTCAACCAATGCAACCAGAAGTCCATTGAAAGTAACAAGGTGAGACATCAAATAGCAGATGCACAATTTGTGTATATGTGTGTCTGTGTGTTTAATAACCTTGTAATTAAAAAGTGATTGCCTCTGAGGAGCGGGAATCAGGTCAGGCAAAGCAGGAGACTAGTTTCCCATACAACTTTCAGTCTTATTTGTTTTGAAGAACACGCACTTACTACCTTTTTTTCCTTTTAATTATTGGAATAGTTCAAGAGAAGGAAACCCAGATGCCACCCACTCTGGCCAAAAGCCCAGAGACCTGTTCCAGATGCCTCTCCATCCCAGAAGGCCCCGTCCCTCTGGTGTTCTCAGCCTGCCTGTCAGTCTCCTTCTAGAGGCAAAGGAGACACAGATCTTACTGGGGGCTTTTGCTCACTCCCTCTCTCCCCGTTCCTAAGGACAAGACCTGGAAAAGGACAGATCTATTGAAGTCTAGCAATTAAATCTCAATCTTTAAAATTCAGGCAAGCTCATGATTTAAGGAAAACTTCTGGACCTCAGATCCTGCTGGGTGAATTCATGTTCTGTTCATTCTTGTCCAGGTCTGACTAGAGGCGAAAGGACTGACTTCTCTGACATCTGACCTGACACCTGAGACTGATGAGAAATCCTTTTGATTCCCGCCACCGTCAGTCACCTGAGAAATGCGGTCCATCAGCACTTCACAAGCCTGGCTGGGCAGCAGAATCATCTAGAAGGCTTGGTAGAAACAAATACCTAGGACCCTACCCCATTCCTATAGAAATGAACTGAATCTCTCTCTGGGGGTCAGTCCTATACTTTTTAAAAGGTGTTTCTGATGCAGCCAGTCCAGCCTGACATTTGGAAACCACTGCTTTTGGCTCACACCACTGGCATATCCAGTATGTTTTGAAATATTCGGAGACACAGAAACAGAATATTTAAAACTGGGAGTGGTTGGAAAATCTGAAATGGACACGACTCCACTTTGGATCTCCCCAAAGGTCTCCCCCCTGCAGAACACCGCCCTGCTCCCTCCTGGGGAGACAGGAAGGTTACCTCACCTGGTCACTAATGTCTCCAGACTCCCAAAGGGCGAACACCTTCTGCTCATCCGGGGAAGCAGCCGTCTGTGGGGGAAACTGACCGAGGTCCGGGCGTGAGCTGGCTGTTTGGCTTTAACACACGAACCCACCCTCTCCTTGGGCCTACAGGTCTGTGCCCGCCCAGTTCTGGGCACAGAGTCCCAGTCCTAGCTTCTGCCTCTCACGAACGGAGGGTGGATGCAAACCTGCCTCCTCTTCTCCCTCCTCACCAGCCACACGCGCGGAGACCGCTTCTGTGAGGAGCAGGCACGCCCGGCCTGAAGTCAGAGATGCTTGGGAAGGTGGCGAGGCAGCTTCTGTTTTTCCCATCAGCCTGCCACTAGCTCTCCCTTCTGCTTTAACATCCAGTGTCCTCCCACCCTCAGTCAACCCTCAGAGGTGTCTAAGAAGCACTCCCACCCCACTAACTCCTTAGGAGTATCGTGGGATTCCTTTCAATCCCTCCTACAAAAGCCGGGTCAGCATGGGCTACAGGCCCTGATCCACCCTGAGCAGCCCATGCCACGTGGCCCAGCAGAGTCTGAGGATGGACCAGGCAGAGGGCAGCCCAGGCTCCTGGTGCCTGGAGAAGGGGACGGTGGAAAGGGTACCTGGCAGAGTGGGTTCCGGCCTTGGGGCCACAACCCAAGTAACAGTAACAATTCCTGCCACATAAAGTCCCAGGTGGGCTTTAAATCTCATTTGCCACCAGTGAGGGAGCCACTCTCCACAAGCGAGGTCCCATGCAGAGAGTTTACTCAGAGTTCATGGTCACACAGCTAATAAGCAGTAGAACGAGGAGTAGAGTCCGAGTATACTCGCTCTCCCTGGGCCTCAGGCCCCTTGTGTTAAAACAAAACAAAACCAAAAAAATGAGGCTGGACAGGTCTGAGGAATCTTCCACCTTGGACATGACTAAGATACAGAAGGGAGTCAGCAAGAGAGCTGGAAGAGAAGGCCAGGGTCTTCTCAGCAGGGATGCCGACCTTACTGAGAAGCGGCAGGATGAGCAGGTCCTGGGGACAGCTACTCCATGTCCCTTGTCCTCTATCCCCTCCAACAGCCCAAGATGGCCTGGCTAACATGAGGCAGGCGCCCCTGCCTTGCCTGGCTCAGAGAAAGGTGAGTCTGCAGGTAACTGAACCCATTTGCTGGGTGGAGAGAGGAGGCTCCAAATAGTGCAGGGCACCCAAACCCCAGTTACCTTCTCTAGAGACCTCACCAAGGAGGCCCCTTGCCACGAGGGCCAGATCCCCTGGGACACGCCAGCCAGCTTGGGAGTCAGGGCCTCTTGTCCTAGTTCCTGCTCCTCACACACACGGATGGGCCTTTGCCTCAGATCACCCAAGGCTGCATGTGCTTCTGACCTGACACTGCGGACGTCAGTGCCCCCTGTTAAGAGGCAGACACAGTCCCACTTCACCCGACTTGCTGACAGGTCTGGACAGAGCCTGGGAGGAGAATGAAGAGTGCACCCAGCCGGGCACCCTTGTACCCTCAGCTCAGGGAGATGGTCTCCAAGGATCCCTCTGCTCCTGTATTTCCTCCCCTCTAGGACCCCTTCCAATGACAGGACAAGACAAGGAGCCTGGGGTGGAGGTGGCCCACCCTGCACCTGCAGGCTCAGCACCAGAAACGCTCCTTGAAAAGCCACAGCTCGTGCTGGCCAGCCAGCTCTCGGACAGGGAGGCCCGCCAGGACCCAGGCACAGCCAAGGGCTCTGGGGAGAGCTCAGCTCGTCTCAGCTGCAGCAGAAAGGATTTAAGACTTGCAGCCACTGTACTGAGGTTCAATGTCCGGCTCTATCACTTCCTGGGTAAGTACATTTTATTTCTTTGAAACTGTTTCTTCACCTGCGGTTACTAGAAGATCAAATGACACCAGGAGTGAAATCATCGTAAAAAATGGCAAAGCTGGCAGGAATGGGTGGGGTGCTGACAGAGGAAGGGGCTAGACCCCAGGACCGGAGCTGCCATGGCCAAAGCCCTCCTGTGTGCCAGGCAACAGGTGATGGCCTATAGGCGCCCACTCAGCCCTCACCAAAGCCTGTGACACATTACCATTCGCCCACTTCAGATGAGGGTGCAGGGCTGGAAAGCTGACCGCCCAATGGTGCACACAGCAAGCACATGGGAACCAGGATCTACACCAAGGCCAGCGGTCTCCCAAGGGCCCCTGCCTCACGCACCCTACCAACAGCTGTTTCCCCAAAGCCAGCAGGGCTCAGGCCCCTCTGGCTGCCAGCCTCTCTCCCACAGCCACTTTCTCCCAGACAGGCGTGCATGCCCAGGAGCCCTCCATGGGGCCTCGTCTGCCGCCGAGCCCACAGGAGCTACTCACAGGCACCAGTATCTGCTTGCAGCCGGCGGCCAGCACCGTGTCCTGCAGCATGCGGTCCGAGATGCCGCTGAACAGCATGTGGCCGGGGGGCAGGCTGGCCAAGTGCAGGTTGAAGAGGCGCTTGAGTTCGCTCAGGGTGAGCACAAACTGTTTCTGAAAGGTGGCCTGCACAAAGGCCCTGAGTTCCCGGGCTACGGGGCTGCCGGCAGAGCCGGAGGGCGGGTGCCCATTGAAGCTGTCCCCGCCGGCCGCCCGTGCGGCAGGCAGCCCGTTGGCCAGCCCGCTGTGGAGGCCGCCGCCCGGCGAGGTGTCCACGGGCTCCTCGTCCTCCGCCTCGCGCTCTTCCTCGTCCTCCCCCTCCTCGCTCACGGGCTCCTCCTTGATCCGCACGCCGGGCAGGACTGCGGACGCCTGCAGCCGCTCCTTCCTCCGCTGCAGCTCCCGCTCCAGCAGCGCGTGGTTCTGCTGGGCCTGTCTTTTGGCGACTTGGACCCTCTGGTCCCCAGAGACCAGCCCCACAGGCCCTGGGAGGAGACAGGGCTGCTCAGGACAGTGTAGACCATGCAGGGAAGGGCCCACGGCCCCTCTGCCCCACGGACACGCCCCTCCGTTAGAACGGGGACACTCTGCTGACCAGCGGAAGGGGACAGGAAAAATGCAAGCCAGCTGGTGCAGAAGCAAGTAGCCCAGTCTTGCCTTTCACCACCACCATACCCAGAAGGAATCTAACTACCCCAACCATGAGGGAAGACACAGAACCGGAAAAGTCAGATTTCCACATTCAGAGACCCAGCAGGTCTGAAGTAGCGGTAGCTGAGTCCCTGCCAGGAGCCACTCTGCCAACCCAAGAGGGTGAGAAGTCTCCAGGCCTGGAGCCCAGACACCGCCCTGGAGTCCAGAAGCCTCAGTCCCTGAGGCAAGGCTTTGCCACTAAACAAGCCTTCAGCTGAGGTCTGTGGGGAAGGGGAAGAGGGCACAGAAGGGCGGCCACCACTGAGCCCCACAGCCCCTCCAGCCAGAGCCCTGACAAGCCCCAGAAAAGCACCCCTTCTGGAGCCAGGGTCAGGGTGAGGGCCCGCTCAGCCAACGCCCTCCACACCTGATTGTCCGTCCGGCTTCTTTGGCATGGCTTCCTTCACAAGATTATAAACTTTTTCTAACCTGAAAAGAAGAACAAACCCTCTTAACTGTAAATCATGTCCCCGGTCGTCTGCCTCCCAACAGAAACGTCCCCACAAGATGCCACACATGTGGAGCCTTGGCGGTTCCTGCCTGCAGCTGGGAGCTGAATGGTGGGGGTGGGCAGTGGCAGCCCACCCTCCCTTCCTTAGCCGGCCTCCCGCCAGCCTGCCTTGGGCCACACAAGCCTTGCTCCCGAGTGCTTTCCCCTTCCTCCCCAACCCCTCAGAACAGAGGCCAGTCAGGTCGGATCAGCAGGAGGGGCTGTGCCAGCCCTCTGGGATCACGCAGCAAAGTCCACCTGAGTGGAGGAGGGGTGCGCACAGCTCCAAACTGGCAGTCGTCATCCCAGCCGCAGCCAGGCTCTGCTCCCTGCTGGAGCCCGGGTGGCCAGGCGTGACGTGAGAGTCCTCTGCCTGGCTGCCCCTCGTCTGCCCGACAGGCTCTCACTTGGCCTGGATGCCTGTCCACAGCATGTGCTGCCGCTGCACCACGTCTGGATGCTTCTTGATGAACTCCCCGTCATAAGGCAGAATGAACTCCCAGCCCTTGTTGATCCTCACTACGGCCATGTGCTCCAGAAAGTCCTTCACGTCTTCCGTGCAGAGCTGCGGGGAGGAGGCCAGGTGAGGCACGCCCAGCCCCACTCAGCCCCCATCCCTGCAGTGGTGGGACCAGGCCTCAGATCAAGCAGGACACCACCTACCTTAGTCACCGCTGCCACCTCCTTCCTTACCACCCACCGGCTCTGTGTGAACTTCCACATCTGAGGGAGAGAAAGAGGTGTGTTTCCAGGACTCCTGGGACTGTCCCCCAAGCCCCTGCTGCTGTCCTGGGAGCCTGGGATGAAGGCACAGAGTGGAGGCCCCAGGCCAGGCCGGGGTGTCAGGCAGACTGGGTCTGGATCCTGGCTGTGGGCAGTCACTTCCACCCTGAGCCTCCATCTCATCCTTTGTGGAGGAGCTCCAGGGCCACCTCCTCCAGGAGGGCAGCTGGGCCCACTCCACAGCACAGAAGCTTCCTGGGGTGGGGCATGCCTGACCTGTATGTCACCGACAACAACTCAGACCTGAAAAGACCCTCTCCCAGACCACCCATATGACAGTGTCTGCACAAACAGAGAAGAGCTGACAGGCAGCGAAGGCTGAGCCACACACGTGTGCCAGTGTGAGCACACTGGTACACAGAGTGAGCGTGGCAGTCGATGCCACTGCACCCTGATCCCCAGAGATGAAAATAAACCACACCGGCATCCAGATGCTCAGACCCAAAGGAGCCGGGACACCTGGGTGAGAAAAGAGAAAATGGAGACACTCTCCTAAACAGCCTAGGGCTGCCTGGTGTGATCAGACCTGTGCATGAGCTACCAAGGTCACCACAGACAGCTCCAAGGAGAGCTGCTGCAAACTCAAAGCCCACTGCCAAGGTCAAGGGAGGGAGGGCAAGCCGCGGCAGCCCAGGGGCCAAGCCCTGAGGAGGGGTACCTTGGCTGGGACTTCAGCTCTGGGTAAGCGTGGGGGTGGGGTGGGGGCAGGACAGGGTGACGGGGTGGAGGGATGAGCCAGCTCAGGAGTGGCTGAAGCCCACAGCACAGTGCAGGGAAGAGTGTGCCAGGGACTGTGGTGAACGGGGAGTGTCAGCCCCGTTCAGAGTGGCTGCTCTTTGGGGGTTTAGGTCCAGAGATACCAGACTATCCAATTATTCATGACAAGGCAGAAATCTAGCATGAGTCTGATAAGTCATCATTTTAAAAATATCACTCAGGTCAAATAGCTCCTTGGTCTGAATCTACCTATGGGCGTCCAGGCTAAGAACTCAAAGGTTCTTATGAAACTGAAGACTCCAGGGTCCGAGGGGAGGGAGAAGCAAGATAGAGTCCAGAGCCCTCTACTCCCCACCGCCCCACCGGGCCCCACGTTCCTGCCTTCGCCCGCTGCCTGGGCGAGGGTCCGGGACACTGTGCAGCCCCAGCCCCCTCCGAGCCCCCACCCTCCGCCGGGAGGCCAGAGGGCCTGGGCACTCACCACGAAGTCTCGGCCCCTGCAGAGCACCTCGGCCGGCACGCCACTGTGAGGGCTGGAGGAGTCCTTGGGGTACAGGATGTCACTGCCGAGGGGACGGGTGGCTGTCAGGCCCTGTCCGCAGCCCTCCTGCCTCCCCCTCCCTCAAGTTCTGAGCGGAAGCCCAGGCCCCTTTCCAACAGGGGCCCCAGTGGCTGCCATCACCCGCCGCTTTCCCCGGGAGCCTGGCTCCCTGAACCCGTGTGGAGGAAAGCAGCAGCCTCCTCTACACAGACCCGAGTTCTTCTACCCCTTTCCCAACGCCTCCCTTACACATGGGCCCAGCGCCAAGGCCCCTGCATGGTCGGAGGGTCAGGGGCTCAGAGACAGACAGGCTGAGCCAGGACTCTGGAGGACAGTGAGTCCCACATGTAAAGCAGGTAAGATGCCAAGAGAGGCCCGCAATGAAGCAACACCCAAGGCCTTACCCCTGGCCCAAAGGGAAGGAGTGGGCAACGTGAGTTGAGGCAGAGGGGTCAGGGGTTGGGATCCAGACAGACCCCAAGCTTGGGTGAGGTTGAAGCCTTTGGGGAGAATAGGACCAGCACTCAAGGGCAAATGACAGGTGCTAAAGCTTAAAAGCATTTCCACAGCATAATCCTGACCCCACATCCAGAGGCAGACCCTGCTGCCCAGCGACACATACTCCTTTGCTCTGCCTGCCTCCCCCTGCCCCCTCAAGCCCACCTGGCACCCAACTACTGCTTTCCTTCAAGGCTGAGCTGTGCCCACCTTGAAAGCCCTACAGGACAGCGCCCTGGCCTGGGCTGTCCACCTCTGCCACATGGACAGCAGATGCCCACTAGTGAGTCATGGTGCCAACCCCACCCCTAGACCCCAGGCCTCGCCTCAATTTCCTAAGGACAAGACAGCACAGGGCAGGGCACAGAACAAGCAGTCCAGACACATTTACTCAACCAACGGGAGCACTCCGCATCGCGTCCTCAACGGGGACACCGAAGGACGGGGCATGGGAAGACCACCGCCCACACGGGTGGCAGCGAGCCCCAAAGCACTGGGCACACAGAACGCCGGCGGGCCCACATTCAAGTCACAGGACCGACAGGCCATAAGCAGATCGGGGCGCGGCGGTGCTGGGCCAGCGTGAACCTCACTCTGCGGCTGCCCAGCTGCCAGGCACCTGGCAAGTCTCTGGGCCTCCTGTGGGCACACGGCCCCAGGGCTCAGGGGGCATGGTCTCCCCTGGCTTTCATCCACCCACAGCACACACACACACATACACAGTCCCGATTAACAGGTGATGTGCCACCCCAAAGGCCTTCATAATTAAATGCTGCAAGGCCCCAGAAAGCACAACAGGCACCGTCTGTTTTCCAGGGCAAGGCTGTCACCAAGTGGTTGTAACATGAACATACTTTGCAGTTTTCTTGGCCAACCAACTGGGAAATGATGGACTTTTCACAATCAACAACTTAAAAAAAAAAATCTAGAACAATTTATACTTTGACAGATTGCTCACTTTGTATCACATTCCTAAACAGTGAGTATTCAATGTGTTCTACCTTATACAATTTAGAAATAATATAATTCAAGTGTGTGTTAAACATAGGTTTACCAAGGGTGAGGCATGTGCCAGGCATTATACCCAGTACCAGGGAAAAGGGAGTCAAGACAGTCCCTGCCCCCTAGAAACCGACCATCTAGGGAGGAGGCAGAGTCTGGAGAAGGAATCACGGAAGAGAAACTACTAAAGGCGGCAAGCCACAAATCCAGGACCCATGAAGCCCAACAAGATACATAAGAAATTCCCACTTAGGCACATCTTAATGAGCTGTGGAAAACCAAAACCAAAATAAGAGAAAATCTTAAATGCAGCCAGAGAGAAACAAAAGAAATACATGTTAGACAGTGGAACATACATTGGATAGACAATAAAAACAATGAAGGTCAGAATACAATGAAATTCTACTGGAATTTAATAACTGGGAGGAAAGGAAATATAACCAAAGGAAGGAAAATAACCAAATTAGAATTCTATACTCAATAAAAAATATCCCTAACATTGTAAATCAGCCATACTCCAATAAAATTAAAAACAAAACAAAAATACTCTTTAAGAACAAAGGTGAAAGAGACATTTCCAGACAGAGCGGAAACAGATTTATGACCTGCAGACGCTCACCTTCGTAGAAGGAAATCATCATGGTTAGAAACTCAGACAAATAGAAAGAAATGATGAGCAAAATAAATTAATTCATTTAAAAAAAAGGATATTAACTGGATAACAATGTCTTACAGGGTTTAAAACAGAATTAAAATATACAAATACAATGACAAATGAGAGGAAGATCAACATAAAATATCCTACAGGTTGTTGAACTGTCATGGATGAGGGTAAAAAGTAGCAACTAATATTAAATTGAGAAATCCATAGGGTAATCACTGAAAGAGTCAAGAAAGGTAACTTTCAAGTTACTGGTGAAAACAGTAACAAGAAAAGAAGGTAAAAATGAATATAAAATGCAGCGTAAGCAGGACAAACAGAAAGCACTAAGGTAGATTTAAGCCCAAAACTTAAAGAGTTTTTGTCAGTCAGTAAATCAGTACTTACATTCAATTTAAATGGGTTAAGTGCTCCCAACTAAGGGACTAGAAGGAACTTACCTCTTCACCACCCAGTTTCCTTGGACCAACATCGCCACCTTCTGGATGCCACGCAGAACAGCCACGGAGTCGACAGAGGGGCCCAGGAGGCTCATCAGGTTGGCAAAAGGCATGACCTTCACTGAGGAGGACACAGGAGACGTCAGACAAGCCAAGAGGCGCCTGGGCTCACGTAACGAGGCCAGCGGGACAGTGGGAACGTGACAGCCGCAGCCACTGGCCTCTCCCTGAGCCCTGGAGGGATACCCAGGAGGAAGGCAGGAGTGCCTCACAAGGAAGACCCAGCCCAAGAAGGTTTCAGAATTCACCCTCGGTCACTTGGCTAGAAGTCAGAGCCAGGACTTGAACCCAGGCCATCTGGGTCCACAGTTCACGCACTTGGTCACTGTGCTCTGCTCTCCCCACCCCCAACGGAGCCCCCAGCCCTAGTGAGCAGTGGCAGGGCCTGGGGAGGCCCACGTTTTCTGGAGCATGGCCAGCAGCCTGGACCCCGGGGAGCTCCCCTCTCTGGCCCCGCAGCCCCTCATGCTGGCATCTCAGAGGAGCCTAGGACCTGGGACTCAGCTCTGAGGTTCGAGGCTCACGTCCTTTCTGAAGGTTCTGGCCTCAGAGTCCTCACTGTGGGGAGCCTGCTGAGGGGACACACGTCACTGTGAAAATGAACACAGCTCATGCTCACGCGCGAGGCTCTGCACAATCCTTTAAGAAGCCCCACGTCTGCATCTTCACCTCAGCCCGCAGCTGCCTTAGTTCCTTTTCATAAATAAACAACACATCCCAGGAAGGCCAGTGGCCTGCCCAGGCTCACAGGGACCTGTGGCCCGTCACCAGCTTCAATGCACTTTCCAAAGGCCTTGGGCCTCGCTCCTGGGTCCGTAAGTCTGTCCCAACTCCACTTCCCCAGGAGGTGGCAAGGCTGGGGCGCCCCCAGGGCAGGGCTGCCCACTCACCGTTTTTCATCAGGATCTTGATCTGATCAGCCAGGGGCAGGGTGCGTAGCTGGGCCATGGACAGGACATTACTGGGGGCCACGGGTTTGTCTCTATTGAAAACCAACGCCAAGGGTTAGGAGGCCAGGGGCAGGTTGGCGGGTGGTAAGGGGCAGTGGGGAAAGGCGTCTGGCCCCTCTACTCACTTCTCCTCCTCCTGGCTGGGGGGCATCAGCATCATGAGGTACTCACTGTCAGGGGAGAGAACGGTCAGCAGCTCGCAGGGCTCTGTCCTTGCCCCACCCTGGTCCCCAGCCAGGTTGTATCCAAGCTGCGCCCCGAAGTCCCACACCCCCTTCTGGCCCTCTCCAGAGGACGATGGACCCCTCCACATCTTCCCACCATGTTACAGAAGGGGCCACAGTCTCAAGGCAGAACCCACGAGAGAGGGATGCTCCCGGAGCCAGTCAGTTCAGCAGCCCTCCACAGCCCCGGCCAGGCCGATCTCACCTGGGGGACTTGACGAGCTCCGTGTTCTCAGCCCCACCGGAGCCCTGGCATAGCAGGTACTGGCGCTCGTGCTCAGAGCGACTGTCCTGCGGGGGAGGAGCAGGGAGTCAGAGGACCTCAGCCAACATTCCAGGCCTCCCCCTGCAATCCGGTTTTCAGCCTTGCATCACCTTCTGCTCCAGTCACCCACTGTCGGGCTCCAAGGCCGGCCACAGGACCATCCCAACTTCCTGAGCAGAGCACTCATGGCCTCTGCGTGTGGCCTCAACCACATTCCTTCCTGCACTGCACAGTCCCACCGCACCTGTGCCTCGGTGCCGTCTGATACGGGAACACAGACAGCAATGACAACAATAACACCGAGCGCTCACTGAGCACCTAGTATGCGCCAGGCTGTGTACCCATGGCTGTACACACACCCCAACTTATCCCATCCCCAAAATAACATGAAGTTAGGAACCGTTATTATTCCCATTTTACAGATAAGGAAACTGAGGTTCAGAGAGGTTAAGTAACTTGCTGAAGGTTACACACCAGGAAACAGGAGAGCTTGTGGAAGTCTGACCCAAAGTCTAAGGCTCTGTCAACACAAAAATCTCTTTCAGGAAGGTTCCAGAAGTTGATCCACCTAGACAAAAATGTTATGGAGCCGGAGCCTGTGGTGTCTTTGTGAGCTAATATTCAATTGCTTCCCTTAGTCAATATAGTTTCAAGGACTGGGCTCTAAGTCAAGTACAGTAAAAAAATCACCGTTGGCAGGTGAGGTGCACAGTGAACTCAGCCATGGGACAGATGGCTAATTCTCCATGGAGCGCCTGATGGGGTGTCTAGTCTTCATTCGGGCCCATGATGCATAAAAGCCTCCCTGGGCCCAACAAGAGGCTCGCACTCAGCAAGAGCCCAGTGGCCACCACCTCCGCTGGTGACACGGTCACTCACTCCCCGGGGGTGCGCCCAGGCAGGAAAGTGGGAACACAGGACAACCTGCCCCCAGAACCTAACCTCTCTCCTTGTGGCACTACCAAGTGGCTACAACTCAGTCTGAAAGAAAGTGGAAGTGAGACAATGAGGCCACCAGGTAACACTTCCCGGGCGCTGGGACTTTGCTCCCAGGAGCCCACTGAGGCCAGCGTCCGTGCGGCCCAGGGACCTCGGCTCACCCTCAGGCCGTAGTAGTGCAGGTGGACCCAGGGCTCCTCGGCATGCTTCTTCTGCAGGAACTCGTAGGACTGCACGCGGCGCTGGCGGGCCTGCTCCGACTCAGGCCGGGAGAATCGCACCTGGGGTGGGCGGGGCAGGACCTCAGGCCCAGGGCATTTCCAGGCAGTCATCCAGGGCCCACCCGGAGGCCAGAGAACCTGGCATCTGGGGCATTTCCCACTCCCACCCACCTCATGCCCAGCAGATTACCCCTCCAGGTAGTCCAGCCAGAAGGTTCTAAGGGATGGACTCTTTCCGTTTCACCCCCAGAGCCCACGCTCCATGCAGACCCGCCCACCCTTGCTGCCTCCAGGAGCACAAAGCTGGCCCTGCTGCCTCCCAGCTGTGCTCGCAGGGCCTGGGCTCACCGTGATCTGCTTCACGTCTTCCTCTGCCTCGTCCTGGGAAGAGTCTCCTGCTGCAAAAGAAAAGGCCCTGCTCGCAGCCTCTTAGGAGGCTCTCCACCCCACCCACCAGGCAGGCCTCAAGCAGTAGTGTCTGAATTCTCCTCCTAGACAGAGGTAGCAGCCTAAGTCAGTGGATTTGAATTTCCCCAGGGAAATTCACAGAGACTCTTGGAAATTCAGAGACATTTCTGGTGGTCAAAATCGTGGGGGTGAGTGCTACCAGCATCAGGGGGTAGAGGCCGGGGATGCTGCTAAGGATACTGTAATTCAGTCCTTTTGTGCTTTTCCCACGACCAACCTTGCCTGCTAACAAGTACAGAGATGGGCTGGGGACCCCGAGCTCACCCTCATTGGCCGCCTCTCTCTCACGGTGCTTGGCGTCTGCCTTATCCAGGTAGGAGAAGCTGGGCCGCAGCTGCAGGATGCCATGTAAAGGTGTCAGGTGGAGCTCACCTGGCAGAGGAAGAAGGGCTTGGACCTGACGCTAGGAGCTGAGGCTGACCCACCCAGCTTGGCTCACAGGAGTCACCGAGGGCCCCAGATTCCCTGAAAGGCCTCAGCTCACTGCCCAACTGCCTCCCGCCTCTGCTCTAGCCCCCAGTCCTAGAGCCTTGGGATCATCAGGCTGACAGCCGTTCGCAACCCAATCTGGCTGTGTTGGACATAGCAAGCACACAAACCAGATCAAGACGTGAACCCAGACTCTGGCTCAAAGTTGCTTCCTTAAGGCTTACCTGCAAACCCTCCTCCGCCAACATTCAAGGACCTCTCGACCCCGGCCCCCACTCCCCTCCCTACAAATTGCTTGTTCTGGCGCCAATGGCGACTCAGTAAACACGCCCCACTCTCCCTGGCCCCCACCCAGGCCTCTGCCAGACCACCCTCACTGCCTCCCTGACCCCACATCCTCCAACCTGTCTCCCTGTCAAATCCCACCCATCCTATTAAGCTGGCTAGTGCAGGGGCTCCCTGGTGGCACAGTCGATAAAATTCCACCTGCCAACACAGAGGCAACAGGTTCGCTCCCTGGTCTGGGAAGATCCCACAGGCCACGGAGCAGCTAAGCCCGGTGACGCAACTACTGAGTCTGTGCTCCAGAGCCCGAGCTCTAGAGAAGCTGCTGTGAAGAGAAGTCTGCGAGCTACGATTAGTGAAAAGCCTGAGCAGCAACAAAGACCCAGCGCAGCTCACAAATAAATAAACAAAAGAAAAAAAAACTGGCTCATGCAAACTGGGCTGGAGAGAGGCCTGGCGGAGGCAGGGAGAAGAGTGTCTACACCAGCTCTGACACAGATCCTAACTTTTGCTTGGGCCTCAGACCTGTGCACTGGGAGGCCGTGCAAAGATAATCAGTTTCAATCAAGTCAATGCAGGCTTGAAAGAAATCAGACACGAGGCTCTGCGGAGGTTCTCTGGGACACCAGAGCGAGCAGAGTGCTTGAGATGAGGAGTAAACACATGACTAGGCAGAGGAAGGAATGTGGCTTTAAGGACTTCCCGGGCAGCCCAGTGGTTAAGATTCCGTGTTCCCAAGGCAGGGGCCCTGGGTTCGATCCCTAGTAGGAAAACTAGCTCCCCCATGCCACACACAAACTAAGATCCAGCACAGCCAAATAATTTTTTTTTTTTTAAAGAAATGTGGCTTTAAAGAACTATGTCCTTGAGATATGAGTTCAAATCAGAAGAGTATAGCTATTTGATATTACTTTTATCCTATCCCAGTTTATCACGTAAGTGTTCAAATTTCTTTATTGCTTTATAAATTCTAAATACTTGTAGTAAACTTGTACTTTTGAACAGCTTTACTGAGATAATTCACATAACATATAATTCACCCATTTCAAGCATACAATTCAATGTATTTTAACATATTCACAAAGCAATACATCCAGTACCACAATCAACTTTAGAACATTTTCATCACCCCAAAAAGAAACCCTGTTTCCATTCCACTCTCCTCCCAGTCTCTGGGAACCAAAACCTAATGACACTTTCTGTCTCCATGGGTTTGCCTGTCCTGAACATTTCATACGCGTGGAATCATGTAACATGTGGTCCTTTGTGCCTGGCTTCTTTCATTTAGCTTAATGTTTTCAAGGCTTGATATGTTGCAGCACATATCAGTACTTCTTTCCTTATTATGGCTAAATAATATTCAAATGTACGGCTATACCATATTTTGTAATTCATGCATCAGCTGATGGACATGTGGATCATTTCCACTTTTCTCTACCATGAATAAAGCTGCTGTGAACACCTATGTACAAGTTTTTCTGTGGTGATGTTTCATTTCTCTCGCATAGATGCTTTCTAGGAATGGAACTGTTGGGTCATAAATACCTTGTATTTAAGACAAAATTCTACTCCTGTATCAAAGGTCATGCTGTGTGTGTGTCTGTGTCCCAGAAGGACGATGACCTCGAAGCCCCACTCGATCAGGTTTGGCAGTATCTGTAAGTCCTTAGAGGTGGCAAACCCCAATCCCCTGACAGCTTGTCTGGCCTCTGTGGGTGAGAGGGCAACAGGCAGGAAGGCCAGGGGTCTCCAAACGGAGGAAATATGCTGCAAGTGTCAGATGCTTTTTTATCTCTCTCTTAAGTGGCAGGAGGAACTAAACTACAAGTGTCAGATTTTTTTTCCTTCTCTATACAAATTTAAAAAGGAGGTTTCTCTTAAAATTCTGTGTTGCCATGACACCTGGTTCCACTTGAACTTAACTTTTCTCAAACCTTGAGCTAACCAACTGTTTTTTCTCCCAATGCGTTTTTCTTATGGAAATGTTCTTCTTAAGCTATGTTAATGAACTATGTATTTACCCTAGATTCTGTCTTTCTTCAAGACTTTCTTCAAGTCGCATTAAGACTCAGAATGGTAAGGGCTCAACAAACCAATGTTTTACTCATACATTGTTCTCCTAATCTACGTTAATGAAACTATACATTTACTTGGAAACCTACCTTTCTTCAAGATTCATGTCAATGTTTATGGCCCGGGATGACACACCTTGTGCCCACGTTCTCTCAAAATGCACGCTGTGGGCGAGGGGCTTGGTGCCAGTCTCTGAGCTTTGAGACATTCCCTTTCTCTAATTAGCAGCCTGTCGCTGTATTACATCCGGCCAAAGACGAGCAGGGGGCACTCTTTCTGCCCCCTTCTGATGTCTATGTCAGAAGCTTTCTCTATCCCTTTTATACTTTAATAAAACTTTATTACACAAAAGCTCTGAGCGATCAAGCCTCGTCACCGACCCCGGATTGAATTGCTCTCCTCCGGAGGTCATGAATTCCGGCATCTTTCACGGCTCAGCAACCTTTTCGGATGCAGCCTTCGCGGTGTCCTCTCCTGGCCCCAGCCCGCATCCTGCTTCCTTCCCACCCACTCAGCCCTCACGGCAGCCCAGAGTGGGTACCTTGCCTGTAGAGTGCAGCAGCGTAACGGGACGTGTTACTGGTGGTCTGGGAAGAGCAGAATGTCTGCTTGTCCATCAGCTTCCTGGAAGCACAGGGAGAACGGAGGTCAAAGGGAAGGAAACTCAGGCCTGGGCCTGGAGGCACAGCCCCCTCCACCCCAACACGGGAACCCCAACAGCCAGAGACCACGGCCGCACGTGCTGCAGGAGGGGCGCTGGGATGAGGAAGCTCAAGTGCGGCTCGAGGCACGCAGTGGATGGGAGCTCCCTCTCCCGTCATGGGGCCAGCTTTCCTCTCGGCCCAGTTAGAACTTGGTCAGAGGACCCATCTCAGGAAGGGAGATGACTTCCCTGGGGACAAGTCCGTGCTGGGGACGAGCCCGTGCTAGGCCCAGCCATGCAAAGATGAGCCGCTGGTGGGGAGCCCAGCTGTGGGGCACAGGGCCTCGGTGTCGCTGAGGGCTGTGGAAGGCTCATATTTGAAGAAAGCGAAGCTCGGCGCCCTTGGGGCCCAGGGAACTCACGAGGAATATGTGCTGGTCTCATCAGCGCAGGCCCCATCCACGTTCAGCGCGATCTGCTCCCCTTTGCTGCGGCAGTAGTTGGGATTCAGCGTGTCGATGGCCATCTCAAGCTCTACCTGCAGGCACCAGGCACCCCCACCAGCTATGAGGACCCCGAGGCACAGCCCTCAGGGGAGCCCCCAACCCCACCACACCCGCCTCCTAACTGCAGTCCCTGCCCAGAAGTAGGACTGATGACATCCCTCCCGAAGGCCCCTGGACTTCAGTCCACACAAAGGCTAAAACCCACATTCCAAAAGAAGGGCCTGAGTGCTTTTTGTTGGAGGGGGTTCACATAGTTTTGCTTGCTGCCACATCCCACTCCCCAAAGTCTACATTAGGTACCAACACTTAAAAACCAAGAGCTTTTCTCTTTTCCTTATTTCCAACTTCCTTTACAATGTCAGCAGAATTGGCAATGCTGGTGTAGCTTTTTACACGCTAACAGCGCTTAGAGCTGCAGCTGCCTGAGGACAGGCTGGTCTCCTGGTCCCTGTCATCCCAGCCCCGAGAGGCATGAGATTCCCCATATCGGGCCCTCTTCACATGAGCCCTGTCCTGTGAACTTCAGTCTACCCCATCCCGTGTTCTAATTCATCTCAGGCCTCACTCCTGGCCTCTCTGGAGCTGCCCACCACCTTTCTTTCTGGAAGTTTCCTTCTGCAGCTCTCAAGGCCCTGCAAGTTATTGGTTTCCTTCTTCACTCTCCAATCACTCCTCTGGGCTTCTTTCAGCTCCCACTTTATCACCGCTCCCGTCCCTCCACCTCCACCAGGAGGCCAGTCCCACCTTCTGCTGCTTGGGCTTGATCTTGGCTGAGAGGTGTGGAATGTCATCATATGGCATCGAGGCTGGACGCACTGGGTACTGGGGAAGGGAAGGGAGCTGTCAGTCCACCCTGCCCAGTCCTGCCTAGAGCTGGGCTCTAGGGGTGCTGGCCAAGAATCAATAGCTCCTCTCCACTCCCGCCCCAGACCAGAGGCCCCCGCTGGTCTCCTGCATCCATTCTCATTGGCTCCAGCTAGCCTCCTCCCAAAGAGCCATTTTCACACATCCAAGGGACATGTCCAAGCATTAGGAACCCCAACAGGCCCCAGCACGCATGACCCTATGGCCCCTAGGAACCCAGCGCAATGCCACGGGAGTTAAAAGTAAGGATCCCGAGTCTTAACTGCTCATTTACAGGCCACCCAGGTGGAGAAGGACAAGGAAAATGAGACCACAGGAAGCAAAGAGGGAAAACAAAAACTGCTCCCCGCTGAAGCCTGGCGGTCACCTGCCACAAAGGATGCTGTGGCCTCAAACCCTCTGCCTCCGCAGCCACTCCACCTACAGGGCACCCTAAGGGCATTCAGGATGGAGAAAACAGGAAGCCTGACCTAAGGTGCATAACAAAGGAGCGATTTCAAGGAGCCCAGGCTGTTCCCACTTCCCACACACAGAAAAGCTGTTTGTTTGCAAAACCCCTATCTAGCCTCTCCTCCCTCGCTCTTCAGAACAGTCCCTCAGGGCTGTCTAAGAGGCTATCTCAGGCTTTCCTCTTCAGTAAATCTGCTGAATCAAATATAAGTCTCATTCAACTGTTAGGTTGTGCGTTTTTTTCCCCTGGTCAACAGATCTATGAGAATCACTCTCCCATTCTCTCTCCTTGTGCTGATGGGCGGTGGTGGTGGTGAGTCAGTTGCTAAGTTGTGTCCAACTCTTGCGACCACATGGACGGTAGCCTGCTAGGCTCCTCTGTCATGGGATTCCCCAGGCAAGAATACTGGAGTGGGTTGCCATTTCCTTCACCAGGGGATCTTCCCGACCCAGGAATTGAACCCAGGTCTCCTGTGTTGCAGGCAGATTCTTTACAGGCTGCAGGCTGATGTGTGGGGTTTTCCATAAAGTTGGAAGGGAGCTGGTCTGCCAACTGACCTGCTCAGAGAGGCCTCTCTGGGCCCCCGTATCAGCAGGTATGAAGCTATTTTGCACCACACATGAGCGTACTGCTCTCAGATCGCTTCTTTTGCTCTGAACAAAGAAGGCCATGGTGACATCCTTCCTCACAAACCCACTTTTCCTTTCTTTCTCCAGTGCTGTACGTACACCACTGGGGGGTTGGGTGAGTCACGGTTTGGACTCACTCTCAAAAGACTGTGGCCAACGCTGTGAGAAGCACCACAGCCTCCAGAAGGAGCCTGGCGGAGGTGTGGCAGTGCGTAAAGTAAACCCTCCTTCGGAGGCCATCTGAGATCAGTTATATTCTAGCCCAGGGAAATGGCTATTCCCTAAAAGCTCTCTTAAATAGCAAGAGTGACTCCTCCCTGCTTCCTGGGCTGGAGCTCAGGTCCAGGAGCAACCTGGAGCACAACTGGTCTGGACTGGGCCTGGAGCTGGGACAGACTCGCCTGGGACAGACTCGCCCACGACAGCCCAGGAGGGCCCCTGGTCTGTGAAAATCCAGGGCAGCCCTGTGACCTCCAGACCGCTGGGGAAGGAAGCTGGATCTAGAGTCAGACAGTCCTCCCTCTGCCACTTGCTCCTCGTGCACTCAGGCAAGCTCCTCGCCTCCCAGGACCACTGGGAACAGGGAATGAGGCAAATGGAGCCAACGCCCAGCCGGGCCTGGCGCACCATTAACTGTCACCACCACCCGGCCCATCACTCTGCAGTCAGTCGAGGAAGCAGGCACAGAAGGCCCCGAACGACAACCCCCGGCCCCACGGGCCCAACACCAGGTCTCTTCCTGGCATACCAGCACGTGCCAGGAGGGAGCTGCGGCCCCGTCCCAGGCCCCTTGTGCGAGCTCCTAGCCTCCCTGGGCCTTTTTCTCACATGCAACACGGCGACAAAAATACTGGGTTGGGCCAAAAAGTTCGTTGGGGTTTTTCCATAACATCTTATGGGGAAAACCCGAATGAATTTTTTGACCAACCCAATGCTTAATAATCTTACTGCTGGGAATATAAATTTCCTCAAAATATTAAACATAGCTTCCACATGTTCCAGCAATTCCAAGGCAAATGAAAACCTCTCCACACAAAACACCTGGGACAGAAACGTTCACCGCAGCATTATGCGTAATAGCCAAAACATGACAACAACCCAGATGCTCATCAGCTGATGCATGGAGAAATAAAATGTGGTATACAAGTCCATACAATGGGGTACATTCATACACATTATAACAAGAGAGAATCTTCAAAAATTCTCGCTAAACAAAACAGCCAGGCACAAAGGCCACATATTACATGACTCCGTCTATATGAAATGTCCAGAAAAGGCAAATCTATAGACAGAAAATAGGTTAATGGTTGCCTAGGACTGGGGGGATGGGACGACAAACACTTCCTAAATAGACTGGTGCTGGTGGTACAATTCTGTGAACAGACTAAAATTCACTGCATTTACACTTAAATGGGGGATTTGCATGGGTGTGAATCAGATCTCAGTAAAGCTGTTATTAAATTACAATAATAATAACCACTATAGGTTACTGTAGGATGAAATCAGTTAACATAAAGTGCTTTGAATGATTTCTGCAGACAGTCTAGGGTTACAAGGAGGCGTGACCAGGATTAAACTATTGGCCCAGGGACTTTCCTGGTGGTCCAGGGTTAAGACTCTACATTTCCAGTATAGGGGGCCCAGGGTTCAATCCCTGATCTGGGAACTAGATTCCCCATTCCCCAACTAAGACCTGGCGCAAGTAAATAAAAAAGTACTGGCCCAGCAAAGAGGGGAGCGGTTGGCTGATGCTGCCCTGGAGCTGCCCAGAAAGCTCCTCCCTGAGTCTCAACTACAGCAGCAGTCGTCATTCGTGGTGCTAATATCGTACCAGGCAGTGTTCTAAGCACTTTAGTAAGGACTCACTTGATTCCCATGAGGACCCTGTCAGGCAGGTATTATTACTATCACCACTGTGCAACTGCAGAAACTGAGGCACAGACATTTTTTTTTTTTAAGAAACTTGCCCAAGGACTCACAACTGAGCCTCCCTGCTAGTAGGCTGTCTCCAGGGCCCAAGCTTCATCTGATACACTGTTCTCTTAGCATTGTCTTGGTTTTCCCATCTTTGAAATTAAAGACTATTACTGACCCATCCATGAAAGCAGAGACTGTCTTAGCACACCCTCTGTGCCAAGAATTCTAAGCAACTGGAGGTTTCACGTTATTCCTTGTCTATCACTTACTGTGTCTCCCCCTGCCCCCTTACCTTTATGTCTCATAATTACCTGAAACAGATAGAGCTTCTCTGCCAGACTTTTGGCCAAGTACACATCGATCTGGGAACAAGAGAAGAAGACTTAACTGGGAGACAGAACTCAACGCCCAACCTGCCCCGGGCACGTGCTTGCTCCTCAGATTTCAGGGATAGGGCCCTGAGGCAGTCTGGGGGAAGAAGAAATAGCTCAACCTTTGCTAAAAACAAAGGGAACCAAATCTCCAACCTGGGTATAAGTCCTCCGCCTGGGCTCACTATACCCCAATAAAAATGTATTGCCTGAGGGTGCCCAGATCAGATGCACCCTAGAAGGACCAATGAAATGCTTTTCTGATGAGGAAGTTGGGGGGAGGGCCTCCTCCCTGCGCCCTCCCTCCACCTCCCATCCTGGGTTGGCCTGTCTTAAGGTGGTCTGACTGGCCCTCCTTTCTTTCCAACGCTCACTGCCTCTGCTGCACCGTGCAGTTTACCTCCCTGCTTCCTAGCTCTTCCTATGCACCATGGTCTCTCCCACCTCCAGGCCTTAAGGACGAGTGAAGGCTCATCAGGCACCAGGAGGCACACGCGGCGGAAACAGCACGTACAAAGGCCCAGTGGCTCTAGGATGTGTCTGAGTCTGGGCTGACCCTGGAACCACCCCTTCCTTATCAGTCTTTCAGACCCTAAGCTTCCCACGGGAGGGAGCACTGCCTGGCTCACTGCTGTCAAAGCCCCCAGCACAAAATGGATTCAGTGAACAACTGCTAAATGACGGAATCTGGGTAAGCCCATGCATCCAATAGTCACTGAGTATTAGCTGCCAGGCATTGAACTTGGCTTTGCAGATACAATGGTGAACAGAACAAAATCCCCGCCCTGAAGAGGCTTACACTCTAGCGGAAGAAGACTTATGTGTAGGGGTTGAGAGGTGCTGTGACCAAATGCAAGGCATGGCCAAAGTGAAGGGCTAGGGAGGGCGTGCATGAGAATGTCACGTGATGCAGGCTGGTCAGGGAATCCTCTCTGACAAGGTGATGCCGGATCAGACACCTAAAGGAAGTGAGGGGGTCAGCCAGGCAGGTACGAGGAAGACGGTTCCAGGTAGAGAGGAAGCCACCAGGTCCTTGGCTGGCCTGAGGATGGATGGAAGGGACCCCACCCCGGCAGTTACCTCCTGTACGACTGGGTCATCCTCTTCATTGGCCATACTAGGGGGGAGCCAGCCACGTGGTCCTCAGACTCGATCTGCAAGGAGAGCAAGAGGTCTGCCAGTCATTCAACCAACACACCTGCATACCCATTCTGTAACCAGTCCTGCTCTGAGAGAGAAACCTGAGGCAATCAGAAACAGATCTTATTCCTATATCCCTCATGGAGTCAAAAGTGGACAGCCCACATCATTTTGGCTGATATACCCCATCAGTCAAAAAAATAAAAAGTAACAACAACAAAAAAAGCAGGCAGAAACCATCAAGCAGTGGGTGCAAACAGGTGGACCCAAGACATCACATGTGGGTTACATCCATGGGAAAGAACAAATGACTAGCCTCAGGGGTTTTCTGACTACTGACAAAGAAGAATTCACCGCCAGGCAGGAGGATGGTGGCTGGCTGGTCCACAGCCACGAAGAAAACACTCGGAAAGTAATTGGGGGCCGTGGGGAACCTTTAGAGGAGAGCCCGGCAAGCAGCAGGAAGGGCAGACAGTCCCAAGGCCTGGATCCCAGGGTGACTCTGTCTCCGATAGCTGATTTTCAAGCTGACTTTAAACCCAACCCCCAGTGAGATGACCTCCTTTCTGTGATTTTTCTGTGTGTGTGTGTGTCTATGTCTAAAAATGACCCTCTTCACATACATACTCTTCTCTCACCTGTCCCTGTTTAATAACAAGGAGACTGAAACTCAGACACTATTTTGTGTTTTACCAAAGCCACACAGGAAGCAAGAGGACCCAAGAAGACATCAACACCATTCAACTTCAGGTTGCAGTTACAATTCGGGGAGGGAAGGGGAGGGAAGGGGAGTTTGGGCTGGGTCCTGAAGGACAGAAGGATTTGGACAAGCCATGGTAACAGAGGCAGGACTCCAGGCAACAGAAGCACTTCAGGTACCTGGAGGAGAGAAGGCAGGTCTCTGTGGTGGAGGGTGAGTACACTATCCCTCAGTATCAATTGGGGAAGGGATGGGGGTGGTGTGTGGGGGGAATACCTTACAGAAGATGGCAGAGCACTTGGATGTAACCTAAGCACATCCTATACTTTAAATCATCTCTGTGCTTAGTCGATCAGTCGTGTCCAACTCTTTGCAACCCCATGGACTGTAGCCCGCCGGGCTCCTCTGTCCATGGGGATTCTCCAGGCAAGAATACAGGAGTGGGTTGCCATGCCCACCTCCAGAGGATCTTCCCAATCCAGGGATGGAACCCAGGTCTCCTGCAAGGCGGGTGGATTCTATACCAGCTGAGTCGCCAGGGAAGCTCTAAATCACCTCTAAGTTACTTATAATACCTAATACAATGTAAATGTTATGTAAATACTCACAAATACAATGTAAATACTATGTAAATAGTTTCCAGGGGCAAGGCAAATGTAGTTTCTGAGGTTAGCTGAATCTGAGAACGTGCAGGTCTGACTATAATTCACCTTCATATTCCTAAAGGAAGGAGATGCTCACAGTTAGAAAGGCATCTAGGCAGACTTTCCGGGTGGTCCAGTGGTTAAGAAACTGCCTGCCAGTGCAGGGGACACGGGTTCCATCCCTGCTCTGGGAACTAAGGTCCCACGTGCCAAGAGTCAACTGAGCCCAAACACCAGAGACGACTGAAGCCCACATACCCCAGAGCTAGTGCTCTGCAAGAGAGGCCTCGCCCGTGCGCTGCAACTAGAAAGCAGCTTCTACCAGCCACAAGTAGACAAAGCCAGCAGGCAGCAACAAAGACCTCGGGTAGACCAAAATAAATAAATAAGGCACCTGGGCAGCCTCTGATCTCAGCCTTTCCCAGACCTCTCCTTTTGGTAAGCCCAGCTCAATTTTTGCCTAATCTACTTAACACTGGAATGCTTTAATATTTAAAAGAGTACTTCCACCATGGGATTCAATGGCATCTAGGCCCCTGTCCTAGCCACCATGCAAAGTCATCTTGTTTACTCCAGATACACATTCCAGACACTAAGAAGGCTCAGGCCAAAGCACTGGCATCATCCTCGATATTTCTCTTCCTCTCATCCCACACCAGCAAATCCTGTGAGTTCTACTTTCAAAGTATGTCAAGAATCTGGCCACTCCCACTGCCACCTCCATCTCCTGCTGCCTTAGAGCAGCAGCCTCCTAACTGGCCTCCCTGCTTCCACCTTGAACCCATATCTAGTGGTCATAGCACTCCTCCCCCTTAAAAGACTCCCCATATCACCAGAAATAAAAGCCAACATCGTTTCCATCCCATGTGAGGCCCTAAACAACCCCTCCCCGACCCTCTTCCTTTCGGACCTCATCTACCACAGGTATCCCTCCCTTCCCCAATCCCACTTCTGGGTCTCTCTCACTGCTCCACTCGCCCCCATAACCTCACAGCTCCCTCCTTCACCTCTTTCAAGTTTTTGCTCAGATTCTACCTCATTGCTGAGGCTTTCTCTGTCCACCCAATTAAAATGACAACACCCTCCCAGCCAGTTCCTTCCCTCTCTGGTTTTCTCCACAGCCTGTATCACCGTGTGACAGTTCACAGCTTTGTATTTATCATCCATCCCCACCCCCACCACCACTCAGCGGTAAACTACAAAAAGGCAGAGATCCCCAGGACAGCAACCAGAAGTCAAATTGCCAACATTAGTTGAATAATAAGAGAAAGCAAGGGAATTCCAGAAGAACATCTACTACTGCTTCATTAACTACACTAAAGCCTTTGATTGTGTGGATCGCAACAAACTGTGGAAAATTCTTAGAGATGGAAATACCAGACCACCTTACCTGTCTCCTGAGAAGCCTGTATACAGAACAAGAAGCAACAGTTAGAACCTCACAAGGAACAAATGACTGGTTCAAAATTGGGAGAGGAGTACGTTAAGGCTGTATATCGTCACTCTATTTATTTAACTTCTATGCATAGTACATCATACAAAATGCCGGGCTGGATGAATCACAAGCTGGAATCAAGACTGCAGGCAAAAATAGTACAGCTTCAGATATGAAGAAGATACCGCTCTAATGGCAGAAAGTGAAAAGGAACTAATGAGCTTCTTTCTTGATGAGGGTGAAAGAGAATGAAAAAGTTGGCTTAAAACTCAATATTCAAAAAATGATCATGGCATCTGGTCCCATCACTTCCTGGCAAACAGAAGGTGAAAAAGTGGAAGCAGTGACAGATTTTCTTTTTATTTGGGCTCCCAAATCACTGAGGATGGTGATTGCAGCCATGAAATTCGAAGACCCTTGCTCCCTGGAAGGAAAGCTATCATTCCCCCAATCAAAACTCTTCAACTGTCACATAGTTTATCCAAATTCCTTTCCATGGCCTCAGGGTCCCATATGATCTTGCTGGGCCTCCAACAAGCTAAGCCCCAGCCAGTCTCAGGAACTTTGCACATCATCTATTTTCCTCAGGTCTTTTCAAAAAAGGCGGGCTCCTTTTCACTAGATATCATCATCCCCACCCGCTCCAGGAATAGACATGTTTCCCTGACCATTCACCTTAAAGGCACCCACCCCGCACCTGGTTCCAGTCGCTACCAAAGCCCTGTTTTATTTCTTTCATGGTTCTTATCATAACTTGGAATTACCTAGTTAGTCTATTTGCTTATGTGTTGTCTGTCTGGCAACCCACTCCAGTACTCTTGCTTGGAAAATTCCATGGATGCAGGAGCCTGGTAGGCTCCAGTTCAGAAAGAGTCGGACACAACTGAGCGACTTTCCTTCCTTTCCTTCCTGTCTTCTGCACTAGAATGTATGTTCCATGAGTGCTCTCAGATTGTTTCAACAATAAAACAGATGATTTAATTTACTATGTGGAGTTGATATGGGCATTATTATCTTTTAAAAAAATTCAAGCTGTTCTCCCAATATCTAGAACAGTGAAGGAAACTATAGTATAAAGAAAAACTGAGTAAATGAGTGCATGAGATCAGGCGGTGACAGACCCTTTACCCAGTGATCCTAACTCAGCCCCATCCAGAGACTAGCAGTCTCACGGTTTGGGCCTCCTGGACACTCGAGGACAGGGGTGTGGTCTGTACTTCCAGGCAACCACAAGGCAGCAGTGACCACCTTGACCTCAACAGGGTTTCCTGTGACCACAAAGGTACTCTGTGGCAGCGGCTCTGAGGCACTGGGCACAGAAAACATCCCCACCAGGGGGCTGTTCAACAAATGGAAAGGGGACGAGGTAAAATCTAAGGGAGGGTCCAGAGCAGAGGAGATGCCTGAAGGCCATAGCTGGGTCAGGCAGGAATCTAACCTGTAGGCCAATCAGAAAAACAGAGGCAAACAGAACAGTTTCCAGCTACTGGGCAGAGAGAGACAACACAAAACTGACTTAAGGGGTGAGGGGCCCAGGGTAAACAGTCTCAAAGTCTGGATTCTTATCGACTGTGTGCCCCTTCTACAAGGCATCTCCCCTTTCTGAGTCACTCCAGGTTCCACCTCAATGAAAAGGGAAAGGTGGCCTAGAGGCAAAAAGAATTAATTCTTAACTCATAAGACCCTCCCTTCTCTAAGGACTTAATATATTCATCCTCATGTAATCTGTTTGGTAGCTCTATAAGTAAGGATGTATTGATACCATCCCCAATTAACGAAATAGGAAACTCAAGTTCAGAGAGTAACTTACCCAAGGTCACAGTGACAGAGAAAGGCAGAGCTAAGCCACAAACCTAGGTCTAGCTGATGTCAAATAGCCTTATTCTTAACGACTATGCTGCCAGATTCTTTAGTGGAAGGCAGGATGGTGTAGTGGGTAAAAGCCTGGACTCTGGAGTGAAACTACACAGGTTCAAATCCCAGGTCTGCTATCTGGTACCCCTAGCCCCTCGAGCAACGTTTGATCCTCACTATTTTCACCCCAAAAATGGGGGTAAACAAAAGCACCGACCACAGAGAACTGTGAAGATTAAGTAAAGTAGAAACGTAATCCCTGGAAAGGTTTCTTACTTACTCGGCACAATGTTTTCTTCCAATATAAAAGGGCAGGAGACACAGCCACGAAACAAACGCTGCA